AATCGAATCAGTAGTTTCCCAACCATCATCTACAAAACCACCAACCACATGAATTCTTTTCAATCTACCAAGGTCGCAAATTCTAATGCAAATGAAGAATAAAATGGAGTTGAAGAGGCCAACTCTAATGAGGAGCTTAGCTACCACACGTGACCACACTAGATATTGTAACTTTCACTAGGATCATGGTCACGCAATAGAAGAGTGCAATGACTTGAAGTCTGAGCTAGAAAAGAAATGTTGAATGAGTATATCCAAAATGAAGACTAACCTAAGTTTGTCAAAGAATAGGGACAATAGTTCCAAGGACCTTGCAATTCAAACAACAAAGATGGCATAGGGTACCAACAAACTCCACTACTCCTCCCACCTTCATCTTGAATTATTCACATGATCACAGATGGACTTGACGCAAGAGGATTGAGCGCCAAACAACAGAAATTATATGTTTGGGAGGTTAAGCACCAAAACCAAACTCAGAAAATGAAATTCGATGATGCAAAATGGAAGAACCAACCTATTACCTTTACATTTGCCAACTTGATGGGGTTGTCACACCTCACAATGACCCATTGGTTACCTTCATCATAATTAATAATTGTGAGGTACAACTTTTCCTTACTAACACTAGTAGTGCATTTGACATAAAGTACTATCACTATTTTGAGAGTTTAGGGCTTGATCTAGCTCTCCTCTAGAAGTATAATAGTCTTATCTATGAATTTAACAACCAGTTTTTTCTAGTTGAGGGGGTACTTACACTTAATGTAGCATTTGGCGATTGTTAAAATGACATCATCTTTCAATGTTGTTATCAACTGACCTACATTAATAGAGATCCAAGTTGTCGTGTCACAATCCCACCTATGCATAAAGTTTTCCACACCCATGGGAGTTGCCACATTAAAGGGCAATTACGAAATAGCTAGACATTGCTACATGATTTCAATCACAAAACCCTGGAAGCACAAAGAAAAACTCTAGATCTCAAAGCCCTAAGCCTCAAATAACCAACAAGTAATGGGGGTAGAGTTAATTGACAATAGGCTTGATAATGTTGCCCAAGGAGCCCCAATTGCGAACGTGGAGGAGGTGCAGATTTATGATAGAGATCTAGCTAGGAAAACTTAGATTGGAACCATGTTGAGCCCAAAAGAAAGAGAAGAGTTGATTGCTCTCTTTTGAACTAAAAAAGATGTCTTGACTTGGATCTCAGCAGATATTTAATTTATATTTATTTTAATTAATTAAATCTAAAATGGGGAAATTTATGAAAATCCAAATTACCAATGCTCTAATGACATGGAAGGCCATGTTAGACTCTAAAATGCTACTTAGCATCCAGGTAAGTTGTGGATCCCACACTAACTAGAGCGCTGTTAATTTTTGACGGATTGATGATGTCGTCCTTAATGTAAGGACTAATTTGCCACCGTCAAAAAGATGAAGTGGCAGTATGTTGCGGATTGACATATTGTTTTTATTTTTATTTTTTTGCATGATTTGCTTGAAACTTCTTTTCCAATGGATGGAATTAATAGCGCGTAGTATTACTATACGGTGTGAATGTATTTTTTTCTACATTACTATATTTATAATTTTATATAAAATTATAAATTTATAATTATGAAATGATATTAAATAGATATAATATAATTTTAAATTAATAAATATATTTAATATTATCAATAAAAATTATTTATATAATAATATATTTTATTTTTAAATTTATAATATCATATAATATTATAATTATAATATTTTTGAATTGACTTTAAAAACTATAGCATTTTTAATTTTTTTAAATTTTAAGTTACACAACTCTTAATCTACTTTATTGACATATTATATTATTTAAATATAAATTTTTTATTTTTAATAAAAAATTATTATTAGACTATTTAACTAATTAACCAATAATGTGAATATTTTTAGATATTCTTAGTAAAATTTAATTAATAAAAAATATTTTTTAATTTAAATTATATTAAATTATAAAATAATTACTTTTAAATTAAAAAAGTACTCCTCAATATATTTTTTTTGACAAAAACAATAATTAGTAAATTAATTTTATTAATTATTAACAACTAAAAGTTTAATTTTTAAATTTAATAAATATTTTATCTCTCTAAATAAAACGCGTGACCCATCAAACCGGTTAGTGGAGTTCTTCTCAATGTTAAACTCTCCTCTCTCTTTTAAGAATTCTAATTTTTCAATTCAATTCAAACACCAAAACAAGAGTTTTTTAATTTCCTCTTAATTTTGATCCCAAAAATCATCATTACTCTACAGTACATTAACATGGTCACAGTATAAAGCTACAGATGGTACATGCATTATTAGGCCATCCTTGCCAGCAAAGTCAAACTTGACCAACGCATTAATTCCAACTGTCCCACAGCCCATCATCTTTGCACTTTGATTTTTCCCTTAACCAATCACGGACTCAGATTGACTCATTGACAGCTGCCAAGGGAAATTTTGCAAAAAGATTTGGGAGGGATGCTGGTTTGATTTGTCCTTAACATTTGAAGACCACAAAATTGAGGAAGTCCATAAACAGAGATAATATAGTTGGTTATAATTAACTTATAGTATCACAATTTTATAAATAATATTACATATTTTTTTAAATAAAAAATTAATTATAGATAATGATTAATCACCTTATAATTTAATACATCTATTAATATTTATTAGTTTAGTTATTGAATTTTACAAGTAAAATTTATCTCATTTTGAATTTAAATTTTTAAAAAATAATTTTTAATAAATATATTATAAAATACATTAAAATAAAAAATATATCAATTATCGTCTATTAATTATACAAAAATATATCATGATTATGTATTTATAATTTTATGTAACATTATAATTATGCATTTTTGGTTAGTTCATAAAATAGTAAAGTACTCTTAGCCTGTAATAGTTTTGCAGGGGATTAAAGTTTTTCTTCGTTTCTTAATTTGTTTCTTACTCATCTCGCTCTGTAGCACAGGAAATTCCCCTGCTCCACATTTGTTCATATATATGACAGAGGTAACTTCACCACTAACAGTGCTTACATGACAAACTTCAATCCTTTCTTCTCCTTCCACCTCTTACTGAGAAAAACGATTATGAGTTCTACAATATTTATGTGGTTTTTACAACCGCAATTTCCAGTATATATGAAGATCTGATGGAGATAGAGTAAGTCTAGAGACCAATAACATTGATATGAACCAAATTATTCATGTTGTGTTGGGAAATTTAAATTTGAATTTAATGAGTGTATTTAAAATACATGTAATTTAAATACATGTTTTTTAAGTACTTATTAAAATACACAGTTTGGATAAATTAAATTATTATGAATTTGAAATTGAATTGATATTAATTTTTCTTATTGAGGTATTTTTACAAACACTTAGTAAACAATTTTAGTTGCCCATGTCAACACCCCTGTTTCTCTCCCTCTATTTTGAAGTACTTGGTCAAAAGACTCAAAATATCATAACCCTAGTGAGACAATTTATCAAATATGTGGTGTGCAAAGCAAAAGTAGATTGTAGTCTTTCAGGCCTCATCACCTCAAGACTCAAAAATTTTCAAATTTCAACTAACAGTTCAATTGAATAAATTTAGCCAAAAACTGTCAATAATCACTCAAACAAAAAGAACTAATAGAGTTAAGCACCTTGGTTGAAAATGAGTTCCATTGCCCCTCCATTCTTGAACAAAATATGGAGCCCAACCAACTAAATATATGAAGTTAGAAGTTAGAGCAGGTCCATGCCTTTGAATACAAGCACTAGTAAAGTGCATGCTAATTAATTCTAAGAAAAAAAGGACCAAAGTGAAGGGAGGTGACCAATCAAGTAGGCTGGAGGGGAAGGAGGTGCATTGACACTTTGAGTTCATAACTATTCCTTTGCTTGACCCTTCATACCCACATAAGAAGAAGAGATAACTAATAAGTCAAACTTGATTGGCAAATTCATGAGTGTGTTAGCCATGATATAAATTTGAAATTTACAATCAAGAATTATATCCACCATAAAATTAAAAGAAAGAGAAGATCTATGCCAAAGAAGGAGAAAAGGGCCTTGATAAAAAATTACCAATTGCTAATGGTGAAGTTAATCAAATATTTCATCAAGGATCCCGCTTAATTTGACCAAATAGCAAATTAAGAATTGAAATTCATGGGGTAGGCAAGATATTTAAAATACATGCAATTTTTATTTTGAAATACATCGTTTCAAATGCATATATTTGAAACAAATTTAAATACACTCTTATTTAATATAAACAAATAGTGTAATTGAATTTAGAGCAACCAAACTCACATTCCCAACCATAGCATCATTGAATTTCAAAAATGAATGCTAAACTCTGGGCTACGGTACGTTGACCATAAGACTAACTATATGCACAATTAGGAACCACAGGAAGTATATTCACATTTGGCCCTAGGTTAAGCTGCAGGTGGTATCCATGGAACTATTCTCTCTACAATGGCTCAGTTACATTGCTATAGCAATTGGCACCCCAATTGCTCTGCTCAAGGTCATCACCCTATGGAGTTTCCTATTGATAATGAGTGTCTAAGTACAAATTTTGTTTGAAAAGGTTTTAGATTTTTTTTTTATCAGCAAAATAATTTTATTAAGGAGTATAAGGGATACTCTAACCCATTACATCATCACAAGAGTTGTTTAAGTTACACTACTCAAAACAGACCCACATAATTTTCCTAGATGGTTTGTGCTTTGTTTGAAAAGGTTTTAGATTTGACATTGATCTTTATAAAAGCTGAAGCAAACTTGCAAAATAGTCTAATTTTAACTTCTTATTAGAGAATTAAGTTGGTTTAAAAGCCAACATATCTTTTCAGTAGGAGTGCTTCTTGACATAGCCTACAAAGTCTATTTTTAAAAAATGGCTTGCATAGAACTGAATGCCATAGAGCTAAAATTATTCAAGGTCTAATACAAATATTATGGTACTAGTAACTGTACCTTTGATTCTCAAAAACTATCGAGGAGATAGCTCAGTGATTGAAACATAATTTTTTGTAGAGGGGAGCAATTCATCCTTTGATCTCTGTGAGGTTGATGTGTCTGAAACAACAACGGTGCTAGGCAAAAGAAATGCAGGTTGTGAGGGCACTGGAAGAGTGGTTGAGTTATCATTAAGTATGTGTACAACTGAACCCATGGTTGGTCTGTATGCAACATTTTCTTGAACGCACAACAATTCGATGTGGACGCAAATCATCATTTGATTTGTCCTTGAATCATTCCTTAAAGTTGGATCTATGAGATTTAGAGCCGTCCCTTCGTTCCAATTTCTCCATGCCTGCAAAAGTTAAAAATGTGCACCTGAATACAACATCGAAATGAGATCCAGCCACTATTCAAACTATTATTTTAACAACAGAGAAACATAAGTTAGCTTTTCATACTTTCCCAGCTTCAGAGGTCCCATGTACCCCCATTTTCAAACCAACTATTTTTTCGACCACTAACAATTTCCAATATTAACACACCAAAATTGAAGACATCTTATTTTATGAAAAACTGTTCACGTACTGCATATTTTGGAGCTATATATCCACTACATGCATTTCAATATCAGTAAGATCATTTTCAATTAAATGACGAGGATAGCTTCAAAGTCATGTTGTAGTATCATTGTAATGCAATACATATCAAAATCCCTCTTGGTGGGCACATCTTGTGCCTCTTTCTCTTTTAATGAATTAATTTTGCCAATAAAAAAGAATCATTCTAGGTACTTTTTTTTTTTTCTGTCAACTTAGAACAAAACTAATAGTATGCGTATAAGAAAAAAAAAAACATTTAGTTTTACTATTTTTCATTGACATACTTACTAAGTTCTCATAATTTTACTAGTGCTGTCTTGTGTTTCTTCTTTTACAAATAACCTTGCTATGCCAAAATCTGTAATTTTTAGCATTCATATCTTCATCTAATAAAATATTACTTGCTTTAAGATCACGATGAACAATTCGAAAATGAGAATCCTCGTGGAGGTAAAGGAGACCACAAGTAATGCCTAAAATGATTCTATAACGCCTTTCCCAATCCAATTGTGCACGCTTGATTGGATCTATATATTCATAGTTTGTGTAAGCATGCAATTTACTAAAACAAAACAAGGATACTGTATATAAAAAAAAAAAAAGTGGGAAAAGAGGACATGGAGTTGCAAGTCCATTTTTTGGACCATTAATTAGAGGTGCAACACCTTTGCAATATGAAAACTGATCAAATGAAATTACTTCTGAGTAAAATTTGAAATTTGAAGTCAAAGAAAAATGAAACAGGTACCTACCAAATATGAATTGATCAAGGCTAGAATTTGGCACAAATTCATAGATGAGAAGTCTTTCCTCTCCTTCCAAGCAGAAACCAATGAGTCGGACTAAATTGCGGTGTTGGAGCTTGGCCACTAAAAGAACTTCATTCTTAAATTCTTCGTCTCCTTGTCTAGAATTACTAGAGAACCTTTTTACTGCAATATCTTGTCCAATTGGAAGTCGACCCTGTATATAATCCAATGGATACACAATTTCAGTATCTCTATATGTACAATTAGTGTTCTTTTCTGTTTCATAGGCTTCTTTACCTTGTAAACTGTTCCGAATCCACCTTGCCCAAGCTTATTTTCTTCGCTGAAGTTATTAGTTGCTGCCTGGAGGTGGCAAAGTCATATTGCAAAGAGTCCGCGTTAATCATTTCATCTACAGCTACCAAAAGCAACACATAGGGAAAAGATTAATGACATGCCCCAGCAGAAGGAATGGATTTCAAACATATATTTTTTACTTAATTACCAAAAGAAGAAAACATTACTTACTTTCAACAGTTTCCTTCGCCTTTCTTTGTCTGAAAATTATCCAAAGCACAAGCAACTGAACGACAAGAAGTAAAGCGCCTACGGAAATGATGATTGTTCTAGTTGTGTGACTTGTGTTGTTTCCTTTTCCTGTACAAAATTGAAAATGAAAGAAATTTTTTCAAGCACTGCATATTAAATGTAAGAGTTTTTTAACATGTACCATCTCTTATGATCATTAATTTGTATGAAAAAGAAAAAATTTCAACACCAATGCAACTTGAATATATATTTCTAATTGCACCATTGATAAAATAAAAAAAAATTATTTTTTTCATAAAAATTAATATAAAATACATGGTAATGGGTCCTTGTCGTTAGGCACATGTTGAAAAAATTCTAAATGTAATAACTTCTCTAATGGTAGTCCAACTTAATGAACACTACTTTTATTTTTGAATAATAGACTTTTCTTTTTCTTTTACTTTATCTTTAAATTAAGGATTTGAGTATGATTTATATTTTTATCTATACTAACTCTAAAAAGGAAAATAAGCATTAAATGAAACTTTTTATAATAAAATAAAAAATTAAAATAATAAATAATAAAAAGGTTAAAATAAAATAATATTTGTTTATCTTAAAATATGAAAAAATGCTATTTCAAAAAAAAAAGAAAAAGAAAAAACAACTACTCTTTTTGTTCAACTTTAATAGGTTTTTTATGGAATAAAATAATGTAATAATTGATAAAATTTTATATTTATTTCTAGTTAATCATTGCTTAAAAAAATTTCTTACTTAATATATATTGTAATTAATTTTTTAAAATAAAAATAAAAATAAATACATTAAATAATTAATTTAAAGAACTCCAATCAAAAATTAATTTTACTAAGCTTGAAACGGTGAGAGTATATTATTCAGACAAATTCTTTCTTAAAAACAGTTTATTTTAGGAGGGAGTAAGATGGATATATATAGGGGAGTTTGCAAACCGTTAGCTACCTTCTGTAGGACTTGGAGAAGGTTCTGTTGGACTTGGAGAAGGAGGTGAAAATGGCACAATTGTGATATTAGCTGGGTTGTCCAAAAATAAATTTATCTCGTATCTTAAGAAACAGCTGGGTTGCACAATTCTGCACCCAGTTATTCCATAGCAGATAGCCCTCATCCTGTTGCTGCCCGTCGCCAGACAAGCGCTACAATTTTGCTGGGACAGGTCCCGGGTACACTGCACCATGGCGTAAATTCTTTGGGAAGATTCTGTTAAACCCGCTGCAAACTTGAAAAGAGGACCTCCGGTAGCCGCACGGACGCTTAAGTTTTTCAACAGGAAACTCATGGCCCTGTCGAAATCATTATCATCACGCGGCCTAGCTTGGCTATCAACTTTCCATAGTTTATCATCAGGATCGGTTTCCATAACTCCGAAAATTTTTCGTGTTGAGTAGCGTAGAGTACATAATTCTGACCACCCGATTGCTTCTTTGTTTCTCGGACAGGCTTTTTGGAGCGTGGAGATGGTGTCGTTCAGGCAACTTCTGCAGGCGTTCTCCTTTTGGTCTCCCTGCAGAGTGCAATTGCATTGACCTGGTCAGGATTTTGGCCAACGGACATATTATAGAACCCATAGTTGAAATCCTGGTCGGAGGAGAGTTGGGAGAAGAGACGATTGAGGTTGGCCTTGTAGGTACTGTTAGGGGTGAAGTTACCGTTGCTGATATCACAACTCTTCCGAAGATCAATAGAACCTTCAGCAGAACCGAGATTTATGTGAAAAGCTGAGGAAAGTAAGAACAAAAGGAGTCTTGAAATCCCATTTGCCTGAAAAGAGTAAATCAATTTCACTCTAAATGGGACATGGTGCAAATAAGTCTCTCAACTTTGCATGGTGTATAAAGGAAAAGTCCTAACATCAGCATAAGACTATTGAATTTTTGAGCGAGTGGGAATTTTGAGGGGAAGGGGAAATATTAAAATTTGTCCCAACAAGGACTTGAATCTTGATATGGTAAAAGTATTTAATGGACATTATTAACTCATTAAGAGTTACTAATGTAAAATTATTAAATTTAAGTTCAATCATTGGTGACCTAGTGACCACCCTCTTGAAAGAGTGCAATGGACATATTGGCTTGGGTTCAAATCCCAAGCCTTACAATCTCCTTCCCCTAAAAATTCCCCTCTATTAAAAAAAAAAATTATTAAATTTAAAAAATGATAATTTACATAAGACTAACACCCAAATAAATAAATTATTACCCTTTACACATATGTTACATAAATATGGGGTGGAAGAGGATACACCACACATGGGATATTTTTTTAGTTATTTATTTATTTATTGTGTTATAGGCATATTACTTAACAGCCATAAACTGGCTGTAGATAGAACATCTTATAAGAAAAAATTTATTGAAATTAACATTTATGATCAAAACTGATTTTGAATCTTGCTATCTAGAGTAAGACCAACGTAAAACAACTTTTATGAAGGTTTTTTTTTGCAAATGGAGGGAGGAGAGAGGAGTGGTAAGAGAGATAAAAAAAAAAACATTATTTTAAATGGTCCACTCACAAATCAGCATGAATGGGACCAGAAAAAAGTCCAAATAGACTCAAAATAAGTCCAACAACTGCCAGGCATGTAAACATAGACCGAAGATATAATGCTATTTAACACAGAAAAATCTCAATAATGATGATCAATTGCACTATAACCCCGCCTCAAATATCTTTAGAACTTAGTAGAAGGGTGAATGCGACGACTCAAAAAATTTAAGTCAGGACATGTAAAACCGGCCATACTCTCTACTTTATTCGTATCTAGAAAAGTTTCAAAGAGATCATCGATGAAAAGAAGACAAATTCCAGTTCCTATCATATCTACCAACTGTCGCCGTACGGTGATAAGTCATTAAATTTGTATAGGTCCATTTGACTGACCCATTGCCTTTTTTTTTTTTTTTAAAGGGATCCATTTGATTGACAAATTTTCAACAGTCACGGCTATGTCACGATCATTGTTGTCAAAATCTAAATTTAAATCTTAAATTCTTATAATTTTATAATTTCAGTAAGATATTTTGTGTAAAATCTATATTAAAATCTGAAATTCATAAAATTTGGGGATTTTACAGTAAAATCTAAATTTTACCGTGAAATCAGATAAAATCTCAATTTTACTTTCTGTTTGGCAGCTGAACTTTTTGTCTATTTCTTTTTGGGCTTTTCATCTTGGGTTAGTGAGTTTTGAGTAGACAATCCATAAATTAAATTTATTTTTTATTTTAAAAGCCGACAACCCACACAACCCAACCACAAATCAATATTTTAATCGGGAATTCAAGATAAATTTGATTTAACCATCTAAAATTCTAAATTTAAGTTATCTTCTTCGTTTAATTTATTTGTGTTGTTGGATATTTAGATTTTAATTA